CTGCTCTAAAGTCGGGCTTTTTAACATGGGAGTCAATGGGAATTGACTCCCTCTTGGAGCCAGCCTCAAGTGGCCACCCAGTGAACTGCAGTTATTTGCACTTCCGTATTGGCCTCAGCGCTCAGCCCGGGATGTTGCCGCTTGATTGAAACACGTGAGAGCAGATGTTATGACAGAAAAGAAATGTTTGACTATTTTACAAACAAACAGCGAGAACTGAAACATATCAACAAACTACAGACAAACAAATAAATAAATACAACAGGGATTCATCTAAAAAACACTAAAAAATACACAGGTGCTTCAATGAAAATATTAAAGTTGATTTTATCCTGCTGATCAATTTAATGACATTATAATGCAGCTAAAATAGTCAGAAACAGCAATAAGCGTGTTGTAAATCATTTTTAAAAGTGCAAGATAACCTGGTTCTTCCTTTATGAACCTTGTCTGTTTGTGTTTCAGCTGCAGAAATGAAGAGGAAGAGGAATGAAGAGGCTCCGGCCCACAGCCCCAAGTCGTCAGTCAGGTGAATGACATAAGAGGAAAATTAGTAAAGAGGAGTAAAGACAGTTTGTTTTAGTTATTCACCTATGTGTTGTATAGTTGGTGAGTGACTGACCAATCTCTCCCATTTTAGTTCACCGACGACAACAGATGGATCCCAGAGTCCCAGTGGAGTCTCCTTTAAATCCAAACACATACCACCTAACCTCGGAGCTGAGAGTCCTGAACGGTAACTCTACATTTTGTGTTTTTTAATTAAAGTAAGTAAGTATATCTTTAAATGGGCGCGACAGAGGAGGACACAGGTTATGCTGTCTGTCACAGTCATTTAAGTAAAAATCAGTAATTTAAGAGTAAATCTCTCCTCTTTTAGTTCACTGACGACAACAGATGGATCCCCGTGTCCCAGTGGAGTCTCCTTTAAATCCAAACACATACCACCTAACCTCGGAGCTGAGGCACCTGAACGGTAACTCAAATGAATGAATTAAAAATGAATTCTGTGTCATGTCCAAACACAACTTTGAACCAAAACTGATAAAGAATTTATTTAAAAATAAAACTACTGCTGAAAAAGTGCTTCGTTTGAGTGACTATGTTGGCCAATCATGTGCTATCTGTTGCACTGCTTACAGTCAGCTGACTGGGGAACCATCCAGCAGGTCATGCAAACAATGTCTAACATCAGACTGGGACGAGTCGGACTCCCGCTGTCTGACGTGTGAAAGGAAACGCCAAAAAGTATCTCAAAGCCTCAAAGACGTCACCGGTAAGTTTGAATACTGCCACCACAACTTATTCTAAAAATAAAGTCAGACTTCATAATCAATCTGAGCATGACATGTTGGTCAGTAACATTTACGTGTGAAGGGCAACATACTTGGTTCTTGCCAAGTTCTCAGAGTTAAAACAAATGAGATTTCCTTTCAAATAAAAAGGGAAACAACTAGATAAAGTACCAAGTTGATCATATCAAGCCGAACCACGGTTCAGTTTGATCCGGATCAAGACCACCTCTTTTGGTCGGACAAAAGTTTGTCCCGTTAGTCCGCACTGTGGTCCTGGTTATTTTTGACTCAAAATCAAAGTCAGGATTTTGTGTTTGCTCGTGATTTTTCACAACTTCGCTAAAATGATCTGCTATCAACTTAGTTTAATTCATTCATTTGTTTGTTACAGGGGACCACCATCTCTTGGAGGCAAAAAATAAATTTAAAGAAGAATTGCAAAAAAAATTTACATTCACATCTGAAGGTACTGGTGAGGGTCAGATTTCCTTGGACAGCATCTACACAGAACTCTACGTCACTGCTGGAGAGAGTGGAGGGCCACAAGCAGAGCATGAGTTCAGTCAGCTGGAACGTAAACTGAAAATGCCTGCATTGCCTAAACATACAGTGAACCTCAGAGATATATTCAAACCTTTGTCTGGACGAGAGAGACCCCAAAGAATAGTTCTGACGAAGGGCAATGCAGGGATCGGAAAGTCTTTCTCTGTGCAAAAATTCATTCTTGACTGGGCCAAGGAGGAAACAAACAAGAACATTGATTTTGTTTTCTATTTTGCTTTCCGAGAGCTGAATTTGATTAAATGTAAGAAAAGCTTGCACAACCTCCTGACCGAATTCCACCCTGCACTCTCTGTGAAAAGTCCAGAACTTTATGCCGAAACCAAGGTTGTAGTGATCCTTGACGGCCTGGATGAGAGCAGATTCAAACTGGACTTTAAGAACACTGAGAGGCAAACATCTCTGAGTGAAAAAACATCTCTGGGTAGTCTCCTAGTAAACCTGATCCAGGGTAACCTTCTCCCGGATGCTAAAGTCTGGATAACTTCTCGTCCACTAGCAGCCAGTCAGATCCCAGCAGAGCATGTCGACATGGTGACAGAGATAAGAGGGTTCAAGGATGCACAAAAAGACGAATATTTCAGGAGGAGATTTAGTCACGGCTCGGGTCTTGCTGAGAGGATCATTTCACATATTCATTCTTCACAACATCTGTACGTGATGTGCCAGATACCAATCTTCTGCTGGATTTCTGCCATATTATTCCAGGAAGTGTTTGCTGCACACACGAAAGTTGAAATGCCCCAAACTCTGACAGAGATGATGGCACATTACCTGTTTGCTCAGACAAAACAGAGAAACAGAAAATATGACAAGAAGCCTGAGGAAAAACTTCTGAAAACACAGAGAGATTTTTTTCTGAAACTCGGCAAGCTTGCATTTGATCATCTGCAGAAGAACAGCTTAATTTTCTATGAGGAAGACCTGAAAGATTATGGCATTGACATAAAAGAAGAATCTATCCCTTCTGGATTTTGCACCACAGTTCTTAGGGAGGAAGATGTCTTTTCCAATAGGAAGGTTTTCTTCTTTGTTCATCTGACCATTCAGGAGTTCTTTGCGGCTCTCTACGTCTATGACTGTTTCATGAACAAGAAAACAACAGAACTCAACGACTTCCTGAAACTAGAGGACAAAGAACACACTTTACTTGAGCTTCTGAAAATCACAGTTGAGATAGTGTTGGAGAAGGAGAATGGCCACCTGACCTACTTCTTACGATTCCTCCTGGGCCTCATGGTTGAATCTAATGGGAGAGTTCTTCAGGGTCTCCTAACATTTCCGGACCCAAGCCAAGACACTGAGAAGAAAATATTGATTTACCTGAAATCCATCCGGAGAAAGACCCTCTGTCCAGAAGGTAGCATCATCCTTTTCAGGTCCATGGTTGAAATGAGAGACCAGAAAGTCAAAGAAGAGGTTGAGGAATATCTGAAGATAAAAGATGGTTTAAAACCAGAGCTGACTCCCCTGCACTGCTCTGCACTGGCCTACATCCTGCAGGTATCGAAGAATGATCTGACTTTATTGGACTTGAAAAGTTACAACACATCAGATGAGGGCAGAAGGAGGCTGATACCAGCAGTGAAGAGCAGCGAAACGGCCATGTAAGTTATCATATGTAAGATACTCTGGTTTCAGTATTTCTTCCACTCCTGGGTAGTGCACGCTGATCCTCTTCTTTTCATTCGTTTCACCAATGAGTCCGTTGTATGTATCAGAATCAGAATCACTTTTATTGCCAGGTATGTGAACACACACAAGGAATTTGATTCCGGTTTTACTCAGCTCTCTTTGTACAAACAGTTAAAAAACTGCCAAGTAAGAAGTCTTCCACGACCTCTCTGAACTCAACTGTAAGACCATCACTCGAATCGCAACCTCAGTAGACCAGGAAATCAGTCACTCTCTCTACTGCCACCCTTTGATAATGCCATCACGACACAGGTTCAGGTCCATAAGGTGCGACAGGGTTTGCAAAAGCCTGGTATCTGCAGCCCTTAATCAGATATCCCATTGCCAAACCCAGCTCTTTACTGTCAATGTGAAATGCTCGAGATGTCCCTCCTTGTTGTTGCTGTTTAACAATGTGTTGTGTTTGTGAGTTCTTGCTCTGTTCTCTGTGCCATGGGAAGTATTTTCTGGAGGTGAATGTGCTAAATGGATGCACCTCTTTGTTAATCTTATGACCCTATTATCTTCCCCTAGACTAGCATCCTGCAAAGTGACTGGAGAGTTGGTTGAACATGTGGCCTTTGGTCTCACGTTTCCCTGGTCACCTCTAAGAAATCTGGACCTGAGCAACAATGACCTGCAAGATTCAGGAGTACAGCTGCTCTGTCAGGGTCTGAAGAATCAATACTGCCAGCTGAAAAGACTGAGGTACATATTTATGTCACAAATATGCTGTTGTGCTAATGTGTGGCCAAGATTTCCACCTGCTGCATATCAGAGTTTACATCCCTTCATAGTTGCAAGAACTTGCTGATGAACTCAATTCTGTGTTTTGTCAGATTGTCAGGTTGTCAGGTGACAAAGACCGGCTGTGACTATCTGATCTCGGCTCTAGAGTCCAACCCGTCCCATCTGAAAGAACTGGACCTGAGCTACAATGATCCAGGAGAGTCAGGAATCAGTCGCCTTAATAAGCTGAAGGAAGATTCCAAATACAAGCTCAGCGATGTCAAGTAAATATAATCCTTGCTGCATTCTAGTCTGTGTCACCAGCTGTGGTTCACAGAAGAGCTCAGGGTAACGGTTTTGTTCTGCTCTTAATCTGAGCTGCTGCAGTCAACCAGACTAACATCAGAGTCAGGGTCCACAAAGACCCACAAGTCGGTCAGGGGGCCAACAACCTGCAAGTTTAACATAACAGCTCCTAAGCTGCTGTAGGTAATGACCCAGAGAGGTTTTACAAATTGTTTTGTTTGGCAAATGTACAACAAGTTCACAGTCCGACCGACGTTAAACATCACCACATCTTGAGCTTTTCTACTGAACTGGGAGAAGTGCTTTTGGAAGTTTTGGATTGTTCTTTGTTGAAAGATTTTAATCCTCATTTTTCTCCACAGAGCTGATCATTGTGGAAGTTACCGGATGATGCCAGGATTCAAGAAATGTAAGTTTTTGTAGAAATCCATTTGGCTGAATGTTACAGGCTACGTACTCGTGATTGACTTTTTACCTGCACTCCTTCTTAACAGCAGTCTTCTGATGTGCAGGCTGTTGTATTGTCAAGTTTTTGCAAGGAACAATATGAGACCTTAGATTTAGCTTCGATCAGGTGGCAGCACACCCCTCTGTTTCTATTATGCATGAAAATGACCCTATTAGAGAAATCACATGATGGCTGTGATGCCTTTTCTTACCTTCAGATGCCTGCAAACTCACGTTGGACCCCAACACAGCTCACAAGAACCTCCTCCTGTCTGACGAGAACAGGAAGGTGACCTGGGGGACGGAGGAGCAGCCGTATCTCCATCACCCAGAGAGGTTTGATCAGTGCCCACAAGTGCTGTGTGAGCAGAGTCTAGATGGGTGCTGCTACTGGGAGGTTGAAGTGAAGGAGCCCTTCAACATTGGGGTAACATACAAACCCACTTGCAGGAGCGGGGATGTGGATGCTTGCAAGCTGGGATGCAACGACAAGTCTTGGAGTCTGATTTGCTCCGATGAGGGTTGTTACACTCTGCACCGCAACCAGAGAGTCAGTGTATCCTCCCTCTGCCAGCGCTCCAGTCGGGTGGGAGTGTATCTGGATTGGGAAGCTGGAAGTCTGTCCTTCTACAGAGTTCTCTCCAACAATTGGGTTCACCTCCACACTTTCACAACATGGTTCAAGGAGCCCCTCTATCCCGCCATCGAACTTCACACTCATTCTTCTGCATTGCTTTGTTAGACACTCTGACTTCGATCGTGTGCAAAGTGTATAGATCAGTGCCACACACACACACACACACACACACACACACACACACACACACACACACACACACACA